CATCTCTTCTTCCCATCTCTCCGAATACCGACGTAGTGATTTTTGCTGGTGACATGAATGCCCAAGTGGGTCGTCTTTCAGACTCTTAACAGCACCTGAGAAAACGTTTCGGAGTCCATGCAAGCCGAACAGAAAATGGTTATCGATTCCTGCAACTGTGCACCGACCACAAACGTTACCACAACAGCACTGCTTTCCAGCGCAAACGTTCACACCGCGTCACCTGGCGCCCACCGCATTCCTCCATGACCTAGACCCAAACTGTACATAATGCCATCAGCTACAGTTGACGCACGTCAGTACAAGACTGTCGGTCCACCAAAAGCACCTGCCTGGATTCCGACCATGTTCTAGTGTGCGCGCCTGGCGCCCACTCTTCCGGCATCAAAGAAGGATCTACTTCTAACCTTCATACATGTTATTTGAACTTGCAACCTGCGGTTCATCAATATCATGACGAACCAGTCCATCAATTGTCAGTGATGAATAAGGTCGGTGAGCAGAACACTGACTGAATGGTCTAAAATGTGCAACGAAGAACGAGTTTGAGGCATGTTGTGCACCCAAATTGTGACGTGGTAACTGCGAATAGGATCTCTGGAGCGTCGGTCAGCCTGATTGAAGCACACAGACAACTGCAATGAACAATGAACAATGATTTGTCACGGGCAAAAAGCATGTGCTTGACAAGTCCCGTAGGATGGTTGGAGCAAAAATTAAAATTTGAAGGATCATCGAATAAATAAATCGTTATCTCAAGCGTCCACCGAGTTAAATACACTACTGCATAACGATAGTTTGAACTGAGAATGGGATGTGCACACGCAAAATATTAGAGAGAGCTTATATAATTCGGTAAGTGCGTGAGAAATAAACTAGGAAACGACAACGCTCACTCCTTTGTTTCTTCACTTGACAGATGTCGTATGTTAATCCAGTTTAGCTACATGCAGGATAATCACATGGACACTTCGGCATGTGTCCTCATCGCCACGTTGCGGAGAGGGCCGTTAAGCACATGGTTAGGTTTGCGTTATTTCGTCGCCCAAATGGAACGGACTATATCAAGCAATGCAAGTTTGCAAGCGTTTCATCAAGGTGTTTTTTGAAAAGCGTTACTGTGGGGGCAAGGATAACGTGAGTCGGAAGCGCATTCCAAGCACGGGACACACGGAGGGAGAAAGCGTTTCGTCGACAATCAAATCGACTGTAGTGCACAGCGAGTTTGAGTTGATGGCCTCTCAGCTTGGTATTTTATCTCAGCTGCAACAGATTGCGACATGGCTGAATTGGGTTCGTCAGTATTAAATAAACTATGATTAGGTCTCCTCGCTGACGTCGATATTCACCACTGTATAATCTCAGGGACTGCAGTTTGTTTGGTAGGAGAGATGAAACAATCCTCTAACGAGTTTGATCGCTCTAGGTTGTGGAGCTTCAAGTGCATCGACGTCGCACTTGCGCCAGGGACGCCAGACCTCGATCGTATTTTCCAATTGAGGCCTCAGGTAGGCGTACAGCATTTTCAAAAAGATTGATAGATCAAAATTGCCGAAAGCCCTCAGTAAGAGTCCAAGATGTTGACTGGCTCTTTTTAATCCCTCTTCAGCCTGCCTCTAGCAACCAAGTTCGTCCTGCACGATCACCCCGTAGTCGTTTACTTGGTAGGCGCATTGTAACTGCTGGTTCCCAAGTCGAAATTCATAGATAAGCTGATGGCGTATGCTTACGACTTTGCACTTAGTCACCTTGAACTCGAGCCGGTTGTCAGAGGACCACGCATAAACCCAGTCGAGATCGCTCTGCAATGACACGTGATCATCCGAGGTCCTGATATCATGCTAAATTTTGATATCATCTGCAAATAGTAAGAAATTCGATTGCAGTACACTGCCAAGATCGTCAATGAATGTGAGGAATAAGCGTGGCCCCAGTACCGATCTTTGAGGCACTCCACACTGGAGATCAATAGGGTCGGAAATGGATCTGCGGTCTCTCACATTCAGCTGACGTTGAATGAGGAAGTTGCCTATCCAACAGAGTATAGGGTCACAGATTCCACAGCTTCGAAGCTTGTGAAGGAGAATGCGGTGGTCCAAACGATCGAACGCTTTGGAGAAGTCCAGGCAGACAACGTTGACTCGCACATTGGCATCGGCTGACTCTGTCCAGCTTGCTCGGGCTAGCAGCAAAGTTGTCTTGCAGGATCGATTTCGGCGAAATCCAGTGTCACTGTAACATTAGGATGTTGTTGTTCTCAAGATATCCCATGAGCGCCTCTGCAAATATGCGTTTCATTAATTTGGATTAGACCGAAAGGAGAGTGATTGGACCGTAGTTCGAGGGTTCCGAAAGATTGCCACTTTTTTAAATAGGAGTGACTAGTCCATGTTTCCACATTGCCGGAACCTGCATTTCGTGGAGACAACTTTGTAGTAATCGAGCTAATGGTTCGGCCGAGATCATGGCCGCTGTCTTCAAGGCCTTCGGTTTGATATCGTCCACGCCAGGTCAGCTATGCACATACGATAACATTAGCGTTTTCATCACATTGGCTGCAGCGAACGATACGTGGTTTAAACCTGGTGTCAGTGGAAGCTGTGTAAAAAGCGGATGAATGGATGATTCACTCCTAATGTATGGATGTAGTGTTGGTGAAGCAGGTTGGCTGCATCTTGTGCGGTTTGCGCAAGACCATTCGTTGCACGTGAAACCGAGATCCCGAGCTGCACTCTGCGGAGCTTGTTGACGTGTCTGTACAGCAGCTTGGGAGTTGAGCTGAATTTCGCCGATAAGTTCTGTTGGTGCTGGAGTTTGTCTTCGCGGATTAACTTGACGTAGTGGTTTCATTGAGTTGTGTAAACACTGCAGACCAAATTACTTGGACAGACTTTGTAAGCGGGCCAGACTGAATCCCTTATAACCATGCATATTCTAGTACAGCTCCTCAGGAACGAATTCACCTTCTTCGGGCAAAGGACCTCGCCTTCTCACGCATTTTCTACTAGCTCAGTGAACGCGGTAACGAACAACCTCCAGGCGACATCGGGTGGCTTCTCGGCCAGAAAGGACCAGTCGGTATCTTGAACGAAGTTGCAGAGTTTATCTTAATGTGTATCGACATAGATTTCCACGTTGTTCTCACTAAGGTACTCCGAGCACCAGGTGTAACAAAACGGCACAATCGCGTGATGGCTACGGTCAATTGGTGAATCCATGGTCACGGTGTTGACCAGTAGTTCCTCGTGAAAGAGCACGAAGTCCAAAAAAGTGGGTGTGATACACGTTCGGAATCGCGTGAGAGGAATGACATGGATGTACAGAGATACATCGGTGATCACCTCTTGCAAATCCGCCTTGAATTGTTCGCTGTGTGATGCTGGAATTTCGATTGCTTGCAGGTTTATGTCCCCCACCAGAAGGGCATGACTGTATGGTCTTGTCAAGATTTGTTTCATCGCAGAATCTAGACAATGATCCATTTCCAATGTGGACAATGGAGAGCGGTAAGGTTGGCGGTATCCGGTTTCGGACTTGCCTGTCATTGTGGCCAGCCACAAGACGCTTGCGCCTACAGAGGGACTATGGGTGGCTTGTGCTGTACCACCCACAGCTCCATCCACACACCCCATATCCAGTGTAAACACGAAGGAATAAGACCGGGAGGCATGTGGATTGGAGCCACGTTTCATCAACGGAGCCGGCCCATACTCCTTCACAAGCAAACACAAGCACACTGTATTTGGGGAATCAAGCGCACACAAAGCGGTGGCTGGACCGTAGTCCGCTCCACACTGACTGCATGAAACCAGTCTTTGATCCTAACACGGCCACAAGGACTGTGCACCCCGTCCACTCCATCAACGACGAACAGTCTCTTAGAGCCAGTATGGACGAGGTAGTGGGTAATAGACAGATAGGCACCTTGTCAACATGCACATCAAGCGCAGCCACACCGGGGATATCAAACAACAGTCAATCACTTGAGATATATATATATATATATACAAAAAAATAACTCGATTAATGCATAAGGAAACGGTGACATAAACCTTAAGTTAATGAGCATATGAAATAAGTTGTTTAAAAACCAATCCTAGATAAGTTCACGAGGTCAGAAAGTATACTTTACGGAAATGCCACGAACACAGAAATGTTATGGAAATCGAATACAATTGACTTAAGCTAGGTGTGCAAGTTAATGGAATAGAGTACAGGTAGACATTTATATGAGAAATAAAAGCATTAAGGCAAAACTGAAAACCCACCACCTGAAATAAAGGGACTTAGCATGGAAGCACGCGGTTACTAAATCGAATGCAGCGTACCTACAAACGCTGCGCCGGTTCTGCCTACGTTCTCTGCAGGACCCGTCGTCGCTTCGGTAGTGGTCCCGAGTGGCCTCGCTCATGGCTCACTAGACATTTATATGAGAAATAAAGGCATTAGGACAAAAATGAAAACCTACCACCTGAAATAAAGAGACTTAGCATGCAAGCAGACTGTTAGTAAATCGAATGCAGCGTACCTACAGACGCTGCGCTGGTTCTGCCTACGTTCTCTGCAGGACCGGTCGTCGATTCGGTGGTGGTTAATTAGGCTTACTAGGTTCACTAGGTGGCTCACTAGGCCTGCCTGACTCAGGCACTAGCGACCGCATGTGCTACAGCACCACGCACTCGATGTCGGTGGAATACAACCCATGGGAGCTTGCCGCTTCCGCACTTGCCTCTTCTTCTCTGCATGCATGAGGTCATTCTCCAGCATTTCGGCAACTGCCTCCATGATCAGGTCGCGCCATGCATTCCGATCAGCCGCCTTCAATTCTCATGACCTGTAAACAAGCTTAGAACTTGAGAGGCTCACTTTGATCATGTCCTGGTAACGTAAGTTTGGTTCCCCTACATTCCGCTTCATAATACGCAGTTGACCATATAATACTTGTTTCGGTATCCGTGTCGAATTCATACGGCTCACATGACCGAGCCACCTCAGGCGTTTCAAGAAAAGTATGCAATCCATTTCGACGCATCACTTCCGTGTCCGCAACTCTGTCTCCTTATCTGCTGCGCAGAATCCGCCGCAAACACTGTTGTTGAAACCGCTCGAGATATCGCATTTCTCGCCGGTACATCGTCCACGTTGCACTGCTGTATAAAAGAATGGACAGTACCATGGATTTGTGTACCATTTAGCTTCGTGTCAACTGTAAGCTGATGGTTATTCCACACTCGGTACTCTAGCTTCCCGAGTGCCGCCGCTGCCTTCGAGACGCGGATACGCAAATCAATGTGTAGCTGTTGGTCAGTCGACATCAAACTCCCAAGGTAGCAGAAGCGAGAGGTGGTTTCCAACAATTCAGCACCCATGCTGATTCGTGGCAATATTGAAGATTGCAAATCTGCTGAAGGCTGAAAGAGACAGACAGTTTGGCTTCTGTTGATGGTGAGCCCGAAGTTGGCAGCTGTCAAATCCACGACAATAATCCTGTGCTGCAACTCATCCGCGCTGTGTGCAAACAACGCACCGTCGTCAGCAAACAGCGACATACGGATAGTTGTCTCACAGACTAGAGTTCTCGCACAGGAACGACGGATGTTTAGCAACCCACCATCAATATGGTGCTCCACCCGAACTTCGTAAGTACAATCCGCCTCAAAAGTAAAAGACATCATTGCATGAAGATATTTATGAAACAAAGAAGGAGTTAAAACAAAGCCTCGCTTCGCACCAGAGACAACTGCAAATTCACCCAATTTCTCTCCACTCAGCTGCACCGTCGCAGGCATAGCACTCTGCAGACATTCAACTAAACTTACAAAATTACGCGGTCAAGCAAACTGACCCAACACCAGCCACAATGCCTGGCGGTTCACCGTAAAAAACGGACTTAGTGAAATCAACAAAAAGCGAGTACAATGGCTGGAACTCATTGTGTATGCAGATGAGTATCAAAGCCAAGCCCATAAACTTGTTACGAATTATTCGTCATCCGAACTCGCCACACTATGGTGAACCCAGACTTATTCGAGTAACTCTAGAATCCTCCACCGACGTAGAAAACGTTTTGCTCTCCGCAAGCTCGCTAAAACACGAATCCTGTGTCATACGTATCTATCCTGATGTCCCTTGGAGCGCGCGACAACCAAAACAAAACACCGAAGAGGGGCAGAGCAAGCAAGACCGCCTAAACACAATCTTCATACATGGCGTGCCAGAACATCGTTCTAACGATGTTCAAGAGACCGGAAAGCACGATTTAGAACAGTGGCGGTTCATTCGCGAAATACTTTCTTTGGATAATGTTGTGGCACTATCGCTCACCAGGATACCTCTCTCATCGAAGTATAGAGCGTGCGGCCCTAGAATCCTAAAACTTGTGGTTCAGTCAGAGCAACAAGCAAAGGATGTTTTGGATCGATGGCGGAGAAATCAGAAACAACTTCCTTCCGAAATTCGGTTAAAGGTCGCAAACACTTTGCACAGCTCAAAAATTAAAGCAACTGGAGCAGCAGGCCTGCTGACGAATGTACAGAAGTGTAACTTGACTGCTGCTTTAATTGACTCTGACCTAGGTCTAAACGAAGGCTGGGACGCACCTTGGCCGAATCAAGTAGCAAACGAGGTATCATTGACCCATCAAAAAACGAGTAACTGCCGACCTCCCATCGGTCGGCATTCTCCCACACTTGACAGCCTCACCTCTCTGCGGGCTCCTAGAGACCGAGAAACTGGCCTGCTTGTATACAAATGCTCAGGGACTTTCTAACAAACTGGCTGAACTGCAAGATAGCCAAGCTTCCGGCTCGTATGATGTCATTTGGTATCACCGAGACATGGTTGCACACGGGAATGACGGACGCTGAAGTGTCGCTACCGGGCATGTCGCTGATCCGGAACAACAGGCTCACAATAGGAGGAGGGGTAATCCTGTACTACCGAAACGACTTACAGTGCGAAGCCGTGGAGGATTCAGACTCGCAGTTCCCCGATTCTCTTTGGTGCCGGTTGCAGTTAAAAGGCAGGGACGCTTGCCTTATTGTCTTGGTGTACCGCGCCCCTAACTCAACACCCGAAACCGACTACCACCTAGCGGCTGCTTAAGGTGCAGTTTACAACAAAAGTACACTCATATTCTTATCATGGGTGATTTCAACGTACATTGTTTAGAAGCCCCTGTCACGATCGGAGAACAATTCAAAACCGATCTACAAGATCTAGTAACTACTGTTCCTCTTTACAATCACATCACTTTGCCCACTCGGTTCAGAACTGGTAACAGACCATCTGTGCTGGATCTTGTACTTACCAACGAGGAGTATATGATTAATGTGTTGGTTTTGGACTACCCGTTGGGTCGCTGTTATCACGCAGGCATCAGTTTCAACTTCGTCTGCTATGCAGAATATCTGAATGATAACGATGAGACTGTGCGAACCATCACAAGGTACGACCGACTCGCCCAGCTAGTCAGTGCCACAACATGGTCTTTCCTCGAAGAAGAACCCCCGGAAGTCGCCTGGCTCGAGTTCGTCAACACATTCAGTCAGCTGATTGCACAGGCTTCAGAGATAAAGCTTGCAATAAGTGCAAATCAGTTTCTTTCGTTAGGAGCAGAACCCGTAAATGGATGACAGTACGTAACGCAGCATGGCGAGTGTACAGAGAAGCTCCAGCACCAGAAACTTGGGACAACTACGTAGCCCAACGTAACCACTGTACTCAACTGTTAAGAGAAGACAAAGCCGCCTATCAGCAGAACATCGCAAAAACCTTCAGTGCTAACCACAAACAGCTGTACAAGCACGTTAATAGCCTACGAAAGGTGAGGCAATGATTTCCTCCACTCAAGACGGCTGATGGCCCAACAAGCACATCTATGGAAGCTGCAAACGCGCTGCAGATGCAATACGCCCCCACGTTTCAAAGAGTCTTGCCACCAAGCGATCTACCAAGCTTTGTATTCTGCTCACCAGGACTAACCCACATCACTTTTACCGCAGAAGCTGTATTGCAAAAGCTGACTTCTCTACGCAAACACAGCTCGCCGGGTGTCGACACCATTCGTTCAGAGGCATTGAGAGCAGCAGCAAACCAACTGGCAGGACATTTAGCTCAGTGTTTCCAGCACTGCTTAGACCAGAACCAAGTTCCCGCCTTGTGGAAGCTTGGAATAATAAGCCCGATTCACAAAGGTGGAAGCAGAACTGATCACTCCAACTACCGCCCAGAAACCCTTCTTCCTATACTCTCCAAGGTCATGGAATCCATAGTTGCCGATGCACTGGTGCGCTATCTGGAAAACCGCTATCTTCTCACCCCTGAAAAGCACGGTTTCCGTCGACAGCGGTCATATACAACTAATTTACTAATTGCATGCAGTAGTTGGACCGAGGCAGCCGACGCTGGAGAAGGTGTTGATGTGATCTACCTGGATTTTTCCAAGGCTTTCGATCGTCTAGACCATCGGATACTACTATCCAAGCTGCAGCATTACGGGATCGGAGACCCTCTTTTAAGCTGGATCGCCAACTTGCTACTTCAACGGCAATTAGTGGTCAGATTGCGGAGCTCTTTATCGGACCCCATACAATTGGAGTGTGGTGTGCCACAAGGCTCAGTTCTATGTCCACGTTTGTTTTTGGTGTTTATTAATGACGTTGCACAGGGAATCGCTTCAAACTTCCTAATGTTTGCCGACGATGTCAAGATCTGGCACAGGATCCAGGCGAACACCGACCAACATATGCTTCAGAGTGATTTAGATACGGTGTATCAATGGTCGACCCAAAACTTATTGCATTTCAACGCCAGTAAATGCAAGGTGCTTTCCATCCGACATCAAAGCAGTTACTCATACCGACTCGGAACGGATGTACTGCAACAATCAACTCTCGAACGTGACTTGGATGTCATGGTTCAAGGTGACTTGGGTTGTTCCATGCAATCCGAAAAGGCCTCGAAGACCGGGAACCAACACGTCGGGCTGTTGAGGCGGGCGTTTGGACAAATAAACAGCTCCATATTTCGACAAATGCTCAGTGCGTATGTTCGCCCCCATGTCGAATATGCAATTCAAGCCTGGCATCCATGGCTGAAACACGACCTTAATGCACTGGAGCAGCCACAACGCCGGGCAGCTAAGAACGTGATTGGAATGCGCAATCTTTCCTACCAGGAGAGGCTGCGACGACTGGGATTGTTCAGTGGAAGCTATCGCAGACTACGAGGCGACCTTATTATGGCATACTTGATTCTGCGAGACCCACATCATGTGTGCCGCCCTTTACCGCAACTCAGCAGTAATACAAACCTGAGGGGCCACTCGTTAAAACTCGCGGAACAATACAGTCGTCTGGAGTGCCGCAGAAATTTCTTTTCCATTTTTGTGTGTCATCCATGGAATGCTCTCCCAGAATCGGTCGTCTCTGCACCGACACTAACAGAGGCTTGTAGGGGTCTACAGGAAACTGTATCCTGAGTTCCCCACGACAAGTGCGGTTCGCCAGTGTTGTCCCAAATCTGCTTTTCACGTCAACTTTGTTATCGAAATGAGCATAAGTGACTCCGTTCCTTCAGACTCTACCAGAGTTGAAGTTCTACCGGGTGACTAACGAACCTGGAGTATGCGGACGCCATAGCTCTTCTTAGGTTCGAGGCAGTGGCTATACAAACGCTGCTGGATAGACTGACAGGTCGCGCTGCACGCATCGGCATATGCTTTGTACCTTCAAGGTGCAAAGCACTGCTTCAGGATTGGACCGACACACCGGTTCTATCTATCACCGAACAACCATTGGAAGTGGTGGATCGGTTCAGTCACCTTGATAGCTGTATCACCTCTGGTGGCCACATCACTGAGGAGTTGACTTGCGTACCCCGAATTCCCTAGTCAGGCCGAAGAAGCGAGCCAGGCGTCCCAACCTAACCCCAACGACTCAGCCACCAAAGGTAGCAACGCCATTCTCTCTCTCCTCTATAAGTAAATACATGACCTGCAGCGCGCCTACCTCAACTTCTGCACTGCGTGCTGCACCTAGTAGTCTGTTCGTAACACAAGAGACCGTAAGTTACAGTCAACCAGTAGTAGTGAACAACCTGGCAACGTACGCATCGCTTGCCGCCAAGCAAACACCTGAAAGAGCACCAGTAACCTTTGTGCCAGGACTAGAGAAAACAAAGGTGTCGCAGCACGAATGGCCCCCATCAGTGCCGTTCACAAATTCACCAAAAGCACCGGATACTAAGCCTCCAACTCCAAAACCAGTAGCCACCAGGCGCAACCATAGTGCCCTAAACCTTGTGTGTACAAATGTCCCTGAATCCAAATCCAATACAATTAAGGGTAGGTTGACGGACGATCGAAACCAGTAGGGTTCCATCTGTACGTCGATCGGTGTCCATGCTAATCCCACGACCTTAAAAAGAAACTCGCATCACCCAAACGCGTTGCACTACGGCGAACCCCGGTTACTTCGGGTAACACTAAACTCGGCGGACGAGACTGAGGCCGTTCTGCTGTCTGCGAATCGTCTCCGCAACGACTCAAGTGGAGTGCGCATACTACCTGAAATCCCGTGGAAAGAATGTTCAGTGGATCCCGCTAACAAAGAGAGGTACAGAAAAAGTCAAGATAAGCAAACAGTGAGTGCTCACGGTGTTCCTGAGCTTACTGATTCCTCTTCCGACGATACTCAGATGCACGACTGCGAGCAATGGCACCACATCCGGGATGCTCTTTCTCTCGAAAATGTTGTGGCCACCTCGTTGACAAGGATCTCCATATCAC